ACTGCCTTCACAGGCGCTGGGAGCGCAGCAGCAGCGGCAGCAGCAGACCTGCGTGCTGCTGCAGAGGCGGAGGAGGAAGAGGAGGAGGAGAGGGAGGAGAGGGAGCGGTGGATGGCGAGGACGAGGGAGCGGGAGGTGAAGGAGACCTGCTCCTTGATCATGAGCATGAGCGCGGACGACAGCACTGTCTTGAGAATCTGCGCCTGTATGCCCTTGAAAAACCCCGGCAGTCCCTCCGTCTGCCATATGACTCGCATCGCCTGGGAGGGAGAGAAGCAGGAGAGAGAAAGGCCATGGGGGGGTTGGTAGGAACGAAGAGGAGAGTGGTGTTGGGTGATTGGTAAGATGCTGGATGTGTGGCGTGACAGGCGGATTGCTTGATTGAAAGAGAAGAATCGAAAGGTACGGTGCTGTATTGTGCTGTCATGACATCCTGGGCAGGAAAGACGGATTGCTTATCTCATGCGCACTCCACCTTGCTTCACCATCTCAAAACCTTGTTTTTTGTGAAGTTGTCTATACCTTTCAAAACAGCTGCCATATTCTGTCACCGAGCGCAGTGGGAAGAGGAAACGGAATGCAGTGACATACCAGGGCCATGGTCTTTGGAGGGCCAGCCGTGAGGTCTCCTGCTGCCCGGCGCTGCTTCTCCTCCTCTGTCTCTGCCCGCTGCATCATCACCTTGCACCTGATGCGGGGAAGATTCACCACACATATAAACATAGTACATACGCATGCATGTATAGACGTCCACACACACACATTGGAGCAATCGGGTGAGATTACATATGGAGGGAATGAATGAGGGCTCAGGCAGGATTGCAGAGAGTGTGGAATCAAACGTCACGAGCATTGGCTGGCATGGGATGGCAGGGAATAGCTTACCTAACATCCCTGCCACATCACGCACACTCCTCCCCTTCCTTGCCGAACCGTCCTGCCTCTCTGAACCTTCATCCTGGCAATGTGATCATAAGGTGAGCACGAGATGTCACAGGGCGACACTGGAGGGCATGGGCGGGAACAGGAAGGCATGGGATGGTACCTGATGGCAGGGTATGTGGCGATGGTGGCGATGGTCTTGGACAGCGCGCCGATGATGAACGCTGCCGCTGCTGACAGGACTGGCGGCGGACCACAGGTGTCCGCTGTCGCTGCGAGCGTGGCGTTTCGGCGCAGCCAGCGCGTCTTGATCTGCTCAAACATGGTGTACTGCCGTGGGCAGGCCCAGGGATGAGGAGCGAGGGGTGGGGGCCGAGAGGCAGAGGACAAAGAAAAAGACAATGCCAGAAAGGTGAGACATGTGCCAGGTCGAGCAATCTTAAACTAAGCTGGCCTTGTTCCACATGAACTGTAAGGTGCTTCAGTAAAGCAGGCATTCAGTCACATAATCTGTAAGGCCTGCTTGCATGACTCGCATCAACTATCACTCGCATCACCACTCACTGATCTAGCGTCTCTCGACTCCCCGGTACTTCTTCCGCTCCCACTCCCGCCGCTCCCACCCATGCTCCCGCTCCCCACGCGCTCCCCACGCGCTCCCACTCGCACTCCCCATCCCCCCTGGATACCTGGATGGCGGGGTTGGAGACGAGCAGCAGCGACACGCCGAGCCCGTCGAATGCGTGCGCGAGCCCGCCCTCGCGCAGCATCTGCACGAACCCCTTGCCCTCGCCCGGCCGACTCGTCTGCATGCGCGCCGATAGTGTGTCCCACGGCTGTTGCACGGGCGCACATAACGAGAGAGGAAGCGAAGGGATCGGGGGGAGGGGGGGAGGGGGGAGAGGGGAGAAGATCAGGGAAATGACAAGGCAACGAGGTTGATTCTTGGGAATCAGTTGGGGAGGGGAGGGAAAGGGAGAGGCGAGTGGATGAGATCTGGAAGAGGAAGTATAAGGAGGTGAACCGGTGACGAGATGAGAAGGTCGCGTCCGGGGAAACTGGGTCACGAAAGGCGATCATACAGTGTTCGAAAAGGATGGAGGAGAGAGGGAAAGAGGATAGGAGCATCGCGGCATGACGACAAAACCCCGACTCGACGCACCTGCGTCACGACGGCGGTGCACGCGCCGGCGGAGGCGGCGACGGCGAGATTGGCGAGCAGGCCGAGGTTCTTCTGGTGCGCGGAGGCGAGGTAGCGCGTCTTGAAGAAGGAGTAGGCGTAGAAGTAGACGAAGCCCGTGAGCACCGACTGCATGTTCTTCGTCGCCAGCCCCGCGTATAGAGACGATATGTCCCCGCTCGCCACCGCCTCGCGCAGCACGTCCGCGATGTTGCTGCGCGGATGCGCGCGCGCGGGCGGAGGGGGGTGGAGGGGGGAGAGGGGATACGGGGAGAGGGGACAGTTTGGGGAGGGTAGACCAGAGGGGGTTGGAGATGGGGAGGGAGGAGAAGGGGGAGGGAAGAGGGGGGAGGAAGAGGGGGGGGGGGGAGACGGCAACAAAAAGTTTGGAGAATAGAGGGGAATGACGGAATGTGCATGGGCGAAACGGTGAGAATGACGAAAATGTGTGATCCGAGGGACTTGGCTGGGTTGGCAACGGAGAGCAGCAGGAAGAGCACGCGGAGAACACTGACAACACTTGAAGACGGCGCAAGGGACTTCTGCTGCAGCAACGCTCTAGAAAGAAATCGAAGGAGCAAGACCGTGAAGCAGATGACGCCTACCGCTTGCTCACCTGTATCGTTTTCGTCCATCTGAAGCCGCCTCCGCTTGAAATCTCGTTTTACACGTGTCAAGCGGGTATAGGATAGTGGTGCTCAGCAGGCCACCCACTGCACCGGCCGTTGCCTCGGTCAGCGCGCGCAGCGAGGGATCGTCCATGACCATGATGACTGCGTATGGTTGAGCAGGAATAAGGATAAAACAGGACTCGTGACGGACGAGCTGACTTCAAACTGGTGTCAGTTTGATAGCAAATCCTGTCTGACAGCAAATCCTGCAGTCCCTAAGAGCAGGAGAAAATGAGGAAGCAGATGCGGGATTCAAGCAGGATCGTTGGTTGTCGCATTAGAATCTAAGGCCAGTCCACCATGTATATAAACTTTAGAAGCATCATGCTGCTTTCGAGAGGCAAGCAAGGCAGGAGGGAGGGAGCAAAGCGAAAATCCAGCTTGCTCTGGTCGTCGGCCGAACTGGTTGGTTGGGTGTACCGCGCGTGTGCCGCGCCTATTCCGTACCACACCAAACACTGTGCCTCGGGATTCGCTCCGCGGTATGTCGCACCCTTGCCTGGGAGCGTCAAACTTATCAGGTTCGTGATGTCCCACACCAGCTCCGTGCTCCGGTCATACCCTTGGGAATGTCAAAACGTGGTGCTAGGTTCCGCAAACTGGCTGAATAGCTTCGGTGTTTAGTCTGGGTTTGACTTGGTCACATAGACGACGAATGCAGTTGCCAAATGAGTACTGTAGTCGGGTCAGACTGGCCGTTCTCGCGCAAACCAAACAGGCCGAGCCTGGGCTACCAGCTTGTGTTTGATTAGCCTCGGCATGACGTGTTGCACCGCACAGAGTCGCTGGTGTGTCAAGAGGCCAATACACGTAAGTGCTGCCCACATCAGGCTGACCTGGACCAACGGGTCACGGTGGCTGGAGAAGTTCTGGCGAGAAAGCATTACGGCGAAACTGCGTGACTGAGATGTGTCCCACCTTCCACAAATGCATAACCGACACAATTCACCCCATTCATTGACAGCTTTCGAAATTTACACGAATAGCGTGACCGTAAAAAAATGTGTGCAGCAGACCTTGTATGATAGTACGACCATAACGAATACCCAGCATTCCCAGTCTAGGAGGGAGTGCTCTCGCCTTCCTACTCCTGGCCCTGGGCTGAGAACAAATTTACAGATCACTCCCAAAACCGTAGATAACTCGGTCGCGATTGTGGACGGCATGAAGGCATTCGCTCAGACGCTGGAGCTGAAGGACGACCCGGCGCTTATTGCTGAGTACCTTGAGTATCACAAGCGCGTATGGCCCGAGGCAAGGTCCCATTTCTCGACGAACCTGCAATGAGCGTCCCATGCACTAGCGCAGCAATGGCTAGCAATTTTTCCTACAGCACCGCATTGTGTTCCCTTTCGTCGGCTGCGTTCAGGTGCTGTCGGCGATCCAGGCTATGGGCATCACTACCATGCGCATCTTCGTGCACGGTAACCGACTGTTCATGTACGCGGAGGCGCCGGATGACTTCGACGCTGCCAGAGACTATCAGAAATACACTGCAAGGTAAGCGGTGCTGGGCTACTGTTGCTCGATTGCTGCAAGGTACGCTGCTATGGACTATCAGAAATACACTACATGTCAGGAACTGCTAGGGGTTGCGCATTATTGCCTGGATGAAATCAAGACAGGACGCTTAGGAAGGGTACTGGGATTAAAGGAATGAATGGTTAAGATCCACGTCAAATGGCGACGCCTGCACTATGCTCACCCCTTTCTTGCAGTGCGCGTGCTCGTGAGTGGGACGAGCTGATGAGGAAGTACCAGCAGCGGGTGCCAGCAGCGTCGTCAGACCCAGACGAGTGGTGGTCGCCCATGAACCTTTGCTTTGACCTTTCAGAACAGCTGCAGGAGAGTACTACATCCAGACCAAGCCCTACGCGGAATCCATAGGCGTGGAAGGGTCTCTTCTGTACCACCTACACTGGCATGCAGGATTGTGTATTGGATCCAGAGCTACAAGGTTACGCTCTTCAGAAAGCTATCGTGGTGTTTGGTTCATGCAGCAAAGCAGAAAATGCAAGCCGTTTTGTTTTGTACCGAACTAGCTAACGCATCTGTGCTGAAGTCCAGCTATTATAAAGCCAAGATTATATTTACTCTATGAATGCACAACACTCAGATGCAACTAGGCAGATCTAGTGAGCAGTTACAATGAGTAACAGGAGCTCCTGATCCCAGCCAAGTAGCCAATAACGTTCGCACTTCGAGACCAGCTGAATGTGGCATTCAAATGCTCAGCAGAGCTGATGCTGGTGCTAGTGCTATGGCGCTCACGCCTTGTGCGGCTCAGCACAAGAAACCTGCTCGAACTCGCACAGCACACCTAGGTTGTCACGGGGATCCAGGAACAGCACTGGGTTTCCATGAGCACCAATCTTGGGCTTGCCATCTCCGAGAACACGAATACCCTCCGTAGACACGTGCTTGGAGGCAGCACCAATGTCGTCAACCTGTACCAAAACAACGGCAACAGTATCGAGGAGAATGTGAGATAGGCTAAGAGCGGAATGGTTAAGAAATGCGCTGCTGAAGCGGACGAGGAAAGAAAAGCAGGCAAACGGTAAGGGGGATCTGGCAGGGAATCGTACAGTGAAGCAGAGGTGGTGCATTCCTCCTCTAGGGTTCTTCTCGAGGAACTTAGCAATGGGACTCTTCTCGCCAAGCGGGTGCAGGAGCTCCACTGTACAGTTGCTCACTTGAGCGATGACCACGCGCACTCCATGCTCAGGCAGATCCTGAGGAATAGAAGAACAACACCCACATTGGTTCAACGAAGTAATATACAGTGAGGCACCGAGATGCGATTGGTAGCACGTAGAGCCGCAAGACACAAAATTTCGAGGACGAGCTGGAAAGAGTGGACGAGCGTCGGAAAACGTTTTGAAGCCATGCATCTTACATGGGGCTCGGAAACTTGCGCGCCGAATGTGGTGCGGTAGAACTCCGAGGCAGCAGAGAGGTCGGGGACAGCAATGGCGATGTGGTTCAATCCTCGCACATTGTAAGGCAGTGCCTCGGGAGGCCCACGGATGTTCACACCGCCATCACGGCCACCACTCCCATGCCCGACTTGGGAGAACTGCATGGAGCGAAAGATTGAGAAAACACATGGTACTGAAATCACTGCGCGGCAAGCACGTGTAAAATTCACTCATTTTAACATGGCTAAGCTGCCTCGTAGTGCAGTGGGGTGTAGTTTTGCCTTTTCGCCTCATTTTAGCCAGACCTAGCTGCCCTTCTTCGCACTTCTTCAGATTCAACACAATACGATGATTTTCACATGCACTGAAGAACAAAGAACCAAGTTTTCATTCGACTTAGTGCACCGTATGGTCCCACGAAATACAACAGGGAAGAAACAGTTTGGCAAGGGGACGGAAGGCGGACGGTACGTTAAATTAGATATGGAAAACAAAAATCCAACTAACCTGTCGGGTAAGAGCGGGGAAAATGCGGGCCGGAGCAGGAGCGACAGCTTGGCTTCCCGACAAAACTCGGGCGTAGTTGCTGCTTCGACGTGCTACCACAGACGCTGCGCGGAGCCACATGGCCATTGTGGACGGAAGGTCTGGTTAAACAAGCCGAGCGAAAGGGGTAAGCGGCAAATGGGACGACGAGAGGGCGAAGGCAGGCGTTGGATGGAAGGACGATGGAAGGTAGGCGGTGATGGAGCGTGATGGCTTGTGGCGGGGAGCAGAAGCAGGAGCAGCAGCAGCAACACACGGCGAGAATGGGAAACTAGCCCTAGACGTGGATAAAGAAATGAAAGGTGGTAGCAGCGAGTTTGTACAACTCCGTTTGCTGGCAAATGGGGGGTCTACCCCGAAAGCGAAGGAAGCGGACATGTGTGCTCGTAGATTCAGAAGGCTCGGAAGGAAAGGCTTGACCCAAAGCACCTAGGGTTCCGAGGTTGGCTCGACAGATATTTGGTTCGAGAATGGGCTTGGCGCGGGGGTCAGGAGGTTTGGTGCATCACGTAATGCATCTTACTGAACCGCATTCGAGCGTTTGGGAGCGGTTCATTGCGGCCATTGGCTCGGAGATATGATGGGTCTGGTTTGGTGTTGGGGAAATGAAATGACATCGGGTTCGCTGAGTAAAGCACGGAGACACCTGCATGCCACGTGGTCCAGGGAGGTCTGCCTGATACGAGATGCAGCCATGTAGGAATAATCGGCCAATGAATGGACAGCGAACCAACGTTGACCCTGCAGGGCATGCGGCAATCTCCCAACCTTCAGGAGACAGCGCAGACGCAAGGCGGAAAAAGTGCGGCTGATATCTTTTTCTGACTAGGCACGCCCAGTCAGATTAACGCGCTATCTTAGTTCGAGAAGATAGCACTAAATATACAGAACAAAAAAAAACACACACACAATAAGAATCATAACGGTATAAAAAAAGGTTCCGCAACTGTCCAATCACGAGAGTAAATTGTCATCTCAAACTGCAAGTTCGTCAGATGGGTTGGTAAACGGGGCGAATGGAGCCTCCACTTCGGCTTCATCCACCTCCTCTTGAGTAGCAGGAGACCACTTCGGGTTCTACAACCACGCAACAGAGTCAATCGAACGTGTTTATCAGCTCAATTCTGTTAACTTAGGCCTCGCAAGAAACAGCAAATGGGTGAGATAGGCATGGATTGACCCACCTTGTCCTTGTCAATGAGCACGGCACGGACGCCCTCCAGAAAGTCAGGTCTGACAGATGTGCGCAGTGCCATGCGGTACTCTGTGCGCATCACGTCCTCTATCTGTGCACCGAGCACACAGGCAGCAGATTGATTATGGGTGAGACCACAGAACGAGGCACGGGGTGCGAACGAGAGGACACCAGGTGTGGGGCAAGGTGGGGAGAGGAAGAGGGCCAGCGGAAGAAGTCAAAGGAGGAATGCAGGCAAGGCGGTGCACCCTCGACCAGCTACTTCACTGAAAGGCATGGAAACCAAGCCTTCATATAGAACATGCTTGCCTATTATGGCACCACGGCATGCAACCATGGAATGTCATCACATCCTCATGGACACACTCTCCACTACCACACGAACATCCCATTAGTGCACACGCTCATGAGAACTCAAAAAGGAGCTCAAATATATGAAAGGCACGCTGCAGTGGCGGCGGCACTCACAGGGAGCAGCTTCTCGGCCTCGGCCTGGTTGGGCGCCGTGGCGGCAGCATCAGCAGCACGAGCAGAGAGCGCATGGAAGTGCTTTAGCGTGATGGCAAGGCTGAAGGGCGCTCCTATTGCCATGGCCTGTAGGGAGTCTTTGGCCCACTGGGACACTGCCCATGGGGAGGGAAGAAAAGAATGGCAGGGTGGATTGGGAGACTGGCTTTTGGGCGCCTGGCTTGTAGACCGTCTGTGGCCCACCGTGACATTGGTCATGACGGGGGAGAGCGGCAGAGGGAATTTCAGGGGAAGAGCGCATGAGGGCATGATTGTGTGCTGTGCACAGGAAGGGAGGGACTGGGCCCTGCGGTCTTGGAATCCAGACCAGGAGTATGAAGTGTTCCCCAAAGGGCAATCTCCGTGCGAAAGGGTCGCACCAGAGCCACACAATGCATGACCCCTACTGCACCCCACCTCCCACCCCCTTCCCTCCCCACCATCCCATGTGCCTGTCAGAACTAGAGCTGAGAATTGATACATTAGCAATGAGCTCAAAGCTCTTTAAGTACATCGGAAATGAGCAAGGTAAGTTTGGGGAGGGAATCGGAGGCAATCCTAGGGGTTTGAGGGTAAGCCCAAGGCAATCTCCAATTGGTGGGTTGGAGATTGCTTGGAGATCACATTTGGGTTTGGTTGGGATGTGGGTGTACACCCAACCAAACACAAAGTGCACACTACACTAGGATATAAAAAGTGCAAGTACAAAATGTGAGATTGAGGGCTAACACTAACAGTGCTTTCCTGACCATCCACCCCCTCCCCCTCTCCCACCAGTGCTGTCAGCGCTCTTCTCCTCGGCCCGCAGAGCAGCCAGCATGTGTTTTCGAGAATTCTCACAGTCTACCCCGTACCCACCAGTCCCCGCCCTCCCACTCTCTCACCAGTGCTGTCAGCGCTCTTCTCCTCGGCCCGCAGAGCAGCCAGCACGTGCGGCACAGAGGGGCATTGCGAGCGGTGGAAGCAGCGCTCTATGGCCGGCAGCACCGCCTCTATCTGGGACCCCGCCACCCCCGCGCCTTCCCCCCCTGCTGCTGCTGTGGTGGGCTGTGTGTGGCGGGACAGGATGGTCTCTACCAGAGAGGAGGCGTCTGCAGGGGCGGAGGCGGACGCACTGCTGGGATGGCAGGGCCATGGCATGGATGCAGTGCAGGGGTAGAATGCGATGTGGAAGGGCAATGCACAAGGGGATGAATCGAGGGCGCAGAGGTTGAGTTTGGTGGGAACGTGGCACCAAAGAGTGGGTTGATGAGGGTAGGGCGTGGCAGTATGCGGTACGAAAACTATGGTGCTAGAACGTCTCTTGTCCCCATCCCAAGCCCCCCTTTGCACCCACCAGCACCCGGAAATCAAGCCCCAGCACCCGAAACCACCACCCATCAATCACCCCTCAGCACCCTCCAGCACGCAAAAGTCAGCCAGGAGCAGATCTTGTTTGAAAGTAGGGAGAATAGTGGAAGACACATAAATGACTTTTGAGTCTACTCAAAAGTCACGACTCAAAAGGCACCATGAATCACCCACTATCACCTGTCAGCACCGTCCAGCACGCACAAGTCAGCTTGGAGCAGATCCTCTTTGAGGGTGGGGAGAGCAGTGGAGGGCACATAATGTGTGGCCAGGCCTGCCAGTAGGGCATCGTGGGGCGTGCTGATGCGCGCGCCCGTCATGCCCATGTACGTGCTTGCATGCACGGCGCACACAGAGGGGGCATCAGTTGATGGCGAGTCAACGGACAGGGAAAAATGGTGGCATCTTGACGTTGCGAAACAGGGGAAGGAAACAGGATTCAGGTGACCTCCCCCCTCCCCGTCTTTTCTGGAAACAAAGCAGCAGTGGTGGGTAGGGCGCACTGACCCAGAGCACCGCCGGCGGGCGAGAGAGCAGCAATGCGTGCAAAGCCCACGTCCGGGAAGAGACCAATGGCGTTCTCTGGCATGGCCATCAGGGCTCGCTGTGGTGGGGTGGGGTGCGGTGGAATGGGAGGGGACGGATGGGATGGGAAGGGAGGGGGGGAGAGGAGAGGGGAGGGGAGGGGAGGAGAAGCGAGGGGAGGGGAGGGGAAGGGATGGGATGTATGGATTTGACGTGAATATACAAGCAAACGAATTGATACACATCGACAATTTGTACACTACTTCGAGTTCACTTCCCAACATTCGACATGCCACTTCGCCCTCAACGTTCCTCCACATGCCATCATTCGCCCCCACGCATGCACCCCCACGTGCCCCACCTACCTTCCCCCCCACCTCCCACGCACCCCACTGCTTCTCCCCCACCCTTGGCTCCCCACCCACCCACTCTCTCCCCTCATCCCCCCCCCCACACCTCAGTGACGACACGGTAGCGGCCGTGGGCGGAGAGGCCAAAGGCCATGGTGACCCCGTCCATGAGAGCGATGTACGGCTTGACCCATATCGTCAACCTATGTGCCAGTTCGAATTCTAGGACTTCTAGCTTCCCCCAAAACGCCCTCATTCGTGCCCCCCCTCTCCCCCCACACGACCTGCCCTACTCCCCCAAACCCAGCCCTCCTCTGCCCAGCCTCCCTTCCTGGCCGCCCCTCCCCCCCATCATGCACCTCACCTCAGTGACCACGCGGTAGCGGCCGTGGGCGGAGAGGCCGAGGCCAAAGCCCATGGTGACCCCGTCCATGAGAGCGATGTAGGGCTTGGGATAGCGCGCTATGGCGCAGATGAGCGTGTACTCCGCTGTGAATACCTGATGGGGGGGAGAGGAGAAGGGGGCGAGGGGAAGAAGAGGGGGAGGGGAGGGGGAGCAGGAGGGGTGCAGGGAAGGATGGACGTTAGGGAGGGCGTGGAGGTGCATGGGGCTTGGGGTAGCGCGCTATGGCGCAGATGAGTGTGTACTACGCTGTGAACACCTGCGGGGGGAGGGAAGGTGGAGGGGGAGGAAAGGGGGACGGGAGGCAGAGGGCAGGTGAGGGGTGGGTAAGGGCAGGTGAGGGGTAGGGGAGGGCAGGCGAGAGGTGGGGGAGGGCGGGGGAGGGGTGGGGGAGAACAGGGAGGGTATATGCTGGAGGGGAGGGGCGGGGGAGAGGCAAGGGACGAAAACACTATGAAATGCGTCACTATTAGTTAAGGGAGGAGGAGATGGGAGGGGGTAGGATGCGGGATAGGATGGGGGTTGTGGGTGGAGCGTGGGGGGGATAAGACCATAGGAAAGGAGAGGCATGCAAGGGAATGGGCATGGGCATGGACATGGGCATGGGCATGGGCATGGGCATGGGCATGGGCATGGGCATGGGAATGGGCATGAGCATGGGCATGGGCATGGGCATGACCTGCACGGCTGTTTCCTCCATGCCCAGCTCCTCTCGATTGCTGGTCACAATGGCCTTCACATCACCTCCTGATGCCATGCCATGCCCATCGCCCATGCCCATCGCCCATGCCCATCGCCCATGCCCATCGCCCATGCCCATTGCCCATGCCCCATCCCCATGCCATGATCACGTGACGTGAAGGGATGCGCCATGTGGAAGGGATGGGTGGACGCAGGGCATGGTGGGAGTGGCGGGGAGCGGGGGAAGAGGGGAAGGTGGGGGGAAGGTGGGGGGAAGAAAGAAAGGGTATGAGGATGAGTGAGGGAGGGCGATGGGGCAGCACCTGAGGCACATAGGGCGTGTTGATATCCTCCTTGATGTATCCCACCGCCCCCTTGATGTCCATGCCTGCCATTCCCATGACATGCCATACCCATGCCATACCATGCCATGCCATGCCCACCCATGCGGTGCCATGCCATGAAATGCCATGCCATGCCATCCCATGTCCACCCATGTCATGCCATGTTGTGAGTGGACACATTCAACTAATGTTGAGAAGTGAACAACAGGCAGAGCAAGGTGCAATAAGGTTGTGCAAGAGCAAAGAAACAACCACTGCCAACGGTACATCTCCCACACCCTTTCCCCACTCAGCCCTCCTCCCAATCCCTGAAGTACAAGGAGGACGGGCAAGCCCAACGATATCTACCCAAAAGGATACTATATAACAAAAAGAAACACGGTGGCGTTGGGGCGCTGGAACCCTCTAGCCACCTAAAGGCCCTCAACATTCAACGCGCAGCTCGCCGCTTCTTACCCACGCCTTTTGAAGACACCGCCCGGGAATGTGTCACCCTACCTTACGGCTTGCACTGCTACCTTGCCCACCCTGATATTCTACCTGTTTCTACTCCCCCCAGAGCTATCGCAGAACTAAAGAGCATTCTGGACGCCCCGGCAAAAGTGGCAAAACCGCGACTGGAACCATGGGTCCTGATGGCGGAACCTGTTGCATTTAGCAGGTTCATTCACAAGCCGGACAAAAAACCGTTTGGCAGGGTGAAGGAAGAGTTCTTCCTTCTCGACAAGCAAATTCGGCTTGGCAACCTGCTGGTCCCTGTCTCAGGAGGATCCCGACAATTGACCCCGTCCGAATTCCGCTCCCAATATCCGCCCAAAGACTTCCCACGCGGGCTGAGTGTCCTTCTGGCAATTTACAAAGCTGTACCTGATGAATGGTGGGAAGTTCTGAACAACTTCACCCCACGGCCGGACTATCTCCGCAAGGACGAGTGGGCCTTCGAAGCCTCCCCAACCTCTCTCCGCTCACAAGTGCTTCGCGTTACACAAGTTCTGGACAACGGATTGGTGAATTTCGACTGCTACGAAGTGACTCATGGGCGACAGGTGACCAAGACACCATTCGGATGCACTACCCTGGCCGCGACAAAAGTCATCACGGTGTGCGTGATAGGATAGGAAGTTGGCTTGCGGGGCCATTCTGCTCGGGAGCCGCGCTTGGAGTCAGACACGAGCTGCTTCGGCAACGGCCTTCGCTCGCGATGATCCGGAAACAGCTCTACACACCACAGGCGCTCGACCATGTCGAAAGATGGAAGGGGGCCCTACTCACCCCACTACGCTCGCTTCCCGACCTGACCGATGCTTTCCTTAAAGACCAAACCAGCCGGCAGAGAAACATCTTATTCCGTCTCTACACACGCTCCCTGCCCTGCGGCGCCAGAATGACGTATACCCCGACAAAAGGCATCTGTCAGCGTTGCCGAGCCAACATCATCGAGTCACATACGCACATATTTTTCGAATGTGGCAATGCGCCAACGGTCACCGCCGCTCTACAACGGGTCTCCAGTCATCATCAACGAAGCTGTCTTCTTCCCGACCGTACTCCCCGCCGGTCAAATCGCCCCGTGGTGTTTACTGGTCGGAGCTGCGGCAACCACGCTATGGAAGGATCGGTGTTCTCAGATCTATGACAGTGTCTCCTATTCGAGTACAGAAACACTGCATCGCAAACTGGCCCTATTCCTCACAGCCTGTAAAACCTTCTTCTACCGCCGTGGTAAACTCTCCAACAAACGACAACGCACCACTCTCAACCGGGTTCAAGCGGCCATCAAGCACAAATTGCTTCACTTTCTCCCCGACGGGTCCCCCCAACTTCACCAAGAGCTCCGCTCTTCCTGGCTGCTCAACAGTGCCTTTCAACCCCTATAGAGATCCTGTAGACTTTCTCATTTACAGCACGGAGCGGGCACGGACTTTCCTGCATGTGAACTTAGTTCAGCTAAAGAAACGCTGTTTTAGCGTAGGCCTATGGCTTGGGTTACTCCTTCTTTGCCTCTGTGTTGTCTGGGTCACGACCTTAATAAAACTTAAACTTAAACTTAAACCTCCTCCCAATCCCTTCCAATTTTCCCTGGATTCCCCTTGTGCTCCACCCCATTCCCCTCCCCACAATACTCTCCATCCCCCACCATCCCCCATCCCCCCATCCGCCCATCCGCCCATCCCCCATCCGCCCATCCCCCATCCGCCCATCCCCCATCCGCCCATCCCCCATCCGCCCATCCCCCATCCGCCCATCGCCCAGCGCACCAGCGGAGAAGGCGCGCGGAGTGGATCCTTCCACCACCACCGCCTTCACGCGCGGGTCGACCGCCCACTCGTCCAGCAGCGCCTTGTACGCTCGGTCCATGCCTGCTCGCGAGGTTCGAAAGAACGCGTGGTTTGGGGGGGGCGGCGGGGGGGTTGGAAGGGGAGAGGAGGCGATGCTTACGGAAGAGGGGAGGAACGAGGAACGATCACCACCAGTGGCGGATTGCGTAGGTAAGCTAGGATTTTATATCTCCCTGTTCCCTGAAGGGGTGACTCACCGGCGGCACTCACCCACTCATCACAGGGAGCTTTCCTGGTACAGTCAACTCATCCCTGCTGTGCCAGGACAGCTACGATTGTCCTACAATAAACCAAGCTGTAACTTAAGGGATTGAACAAATTCGCTCCTTGATGATAAATACTAGGCGCATATCCCCAAGCCCCGGGTCTCGGGTCTCCAGTCACGCAGTTCGCGGCTCTCTTATCACAAGTCACGGGTCACGGGTCACGGCACGGGTTACGACCCAACACAAGATCGCGTGTCCCGGGTCGCGGCTCGCACCTAGATTCATGGCGTTGAGCGCCTTGGGGCGATCCATCGTCAGCACCGCCATGCCGTTCGCCTCCACGCGTCCTTTAATCTCCGGCACGCTTCCCGCGTCGCCAACGGCTGCGGACGCCATCTGAGCTCTCGCGGAAACTGCGCGCGCACTGGCGGAAAAAGCGGACGCGTTACAGGTAGGAATGAGTATCCCGCTCGCAAGCTTTGCGGAATTGCCGGTGATCGCGCGGGATTTGCGGAAAGAATATCCGCAGCGGTCGAGCGGAAAGCTCGGCGGAAGAACGGTGGTTGCGGAATCAACACGCGGATGCGCGGCAGGGGGAGCTAGAAGGGCGCGTGAGGTGGAAGCGGAAAGGGGTGTCGCGCGGGGGGTTCCACTGGCGGAGAGGCGCTGCGCCGCGCAAGAGAAGGCGGCGGAAACGGAAGAGCGGGATACGCGCGGGGAGAGAGCCGAGAAATGGGGAAGGGGCATTGCTGAGGTGCGATTCGCCGATCCTACGATGTGCGACGTCGTCAGGAGGCTGAATCTGAATGCAACTGTTTCACTGGAAGAATCTAGGAGCATAATTGTAGGAAGAGGTGATGCAATACTGATATAGTCAAATTCAATATCTTCACAGCGTGCGTTGAGATGCCCATTTTTTCAAGTTGCATGATGTCACAACGTACAAAAAACCACTCCAGAAAAATATATAGCATACCATATGCAGGTTTCAGTAGTGTCCTTCCAAAAAACGGCTATACATTCCAGATAATTCCCCTTTCCTGAACCTCAGGACTCTGGAGAGAATAAAATCAGCTGGCAAGATATGGTATATGGGAAAAATGATACCATGTACACTCGCGCATCTGCAAATTCATGCACTCGGTGTGCTCGTGCATGCCCAGGGCTGCCATTTTGACATCCCGGTATACTGCACACTGTTGCACGCACCTCATGCCACTGCCACCACCACCCACTCTCGCTGCAGTCTCACCACTCACTGAAGATCACCACTATCTCACCACCCACTCTCACTGCACTCTCACCACTCACTGCAACCGCTCACTCTCACCACTCAGTATCACCACATTCTTACCATTCTGACCACTCAATCTCACCACACTCTCACCACTCCAACCTCACCACTCAAACCACTCACCCTCACCACTCAAACCACTCACCCTCACCACTCAAACCACTCACCCTCAACACTCAAACCACTCACCCTCACCACTCAAACCACTCACCCTCACCACTCAAACCACTCACCCTCAACACTCAAACCACTCACCCTCACCACTCAAACCACTCACCCTCACCACTCAAACCACTCACCCTCACCACTCAAACCACTCACCCTCAACACTCAAACCACTCACCCTCACCACTCAAACCACTCACCCTCACCACTCAAACCACTCACCCTCACCACTCAAACCACTCACCCTCACCACTCAAACCACTCACCCTCACCACTCAAACCACTCAAACCACTCACCCTCACCACCCTCTCTGATCTCACTCTCACCTCCCATTCTCACAAATATCCCCCACCACTCACTCACTCTCACCGCTGTCAACTCTAACTCTCACCACTCATGCTCTCATGCAACAGGTGGCATCAGTGCCATGCGGCCCATCATGTGCCACAGAAGGAACCCCAGCCCCTATCACTTGCTCTCACCCACCCGACTCAGCCTCTTTCACCCACTCATGCGCATCATGCAAAGGTGGCATCAGTGCAACTCATCATGTGCCACCAACAACAGGTGGCATCAGTGCAACTCATCATGTGCCACCAACAACAGGTGGCATCAGTGCAACTCATCATGTGCCACCAACAACAGGTGGCATCAGTGCAACTCATCATGTGCCACCAACAACAGGTGGCATCAGTGCCATACAGCTCATCATATGCCACCGCCAACCCCACTGCCCCTCACCACCATGACCACCAAGCCCACCCATCCCCTCCCCACCTTACCTGCCAGCAGTAGGAGCAGCAGATAGCCCACTCCCCTTCGGAAACAGCACGCTCAGGGTCTGTGCCTTGCAGTGCGAGGTGTGGTAGTGGAAAATTGCTTCCAGCCCAAGACTCAAATCCCACCCCTGACGTAGCCAGAGCTGACGCGAACCAGAGCCGCCGGCCGGTCGGCTCTGACGGTGTCCATTAGGCCTTGCACGTCAGATCGGTTACTTGAGCACCGAGTGCCGTGCCGCGCAGATTCCACCCACCCCACTCCGACACAAGGCACAACCTCAGAGGGTGCTGCCCCTAAGGCAGTGAGCTGACCACTTGCTCCCATGCTCGCCACCCACCCCCATCCCTTCACCCCATGCCTCCTTACCTGTACCTACCATAGCCGTTCAGAGCGCCATGATGCCTCAGGCTGCTGGGAAGTGGGAGGAGGGAGAGAAGGGGGGGGGAGATTAGAGAAAGGATGCCTCTGCTTCGCCATTGCTGCAGTGCTCCCTCCCTCCTTCAGGCTGCTAGAAGGAGAGGGGGGGAGAGAAAGAGAGAGAGGAGGTAATAAGACAACACACCTGCTACCATACCTCACCTGATACCATACCTCGCCTGGTACCATACCTCACTCACGACTCGACCTAACCTAGTCTGCCCCCTAGCCCCCCACCCCCCACTGCATCTGCTGCTGCAACTGCTGCTGCCGGTCTGCTACTCAGCTTCCTCTGCTTCAGTCTTCACTCCATGCCAAGTGATCTGGTGGAGGGGAGGGAAGAAAAGGGGAAGAAAAGAAATTGAGTTGGAATGACCAGAGAGAGAGCAAATAAAACTGCAGCAGACGAAAACGAGAAGGCGACTGAAGAGTAGAAAGGGAGAGCGATGAGGGCAAGAGGGGAGGTGACGTACCTTGAGAGGCCAAGCCCACCCCCATACTCTCCCTTGTGGGGGAGACTGGCAGTGCTGGCTCCCTCCCATCCCCGCAGGTACCTGCACGGCCACCGGGGAGGGGCGTGGGGAAGCGTCGGTGTTGACCCCTGCCCCTCCCCTCCACCTGCAAGGCACACACGCAGAGCTGGGCAGTGGGCAGCGAGGGGATGAAGATTGAAAGTGCAAGAGAGGGAACGGCGTTTGCAAGGTGGGAGAGGGGAGGGGCCACTGGTGGAGGCCAAGTCACAAACTGCAGACCCAAGGGCTGCACCTGAGGGGGTACCTGCACACCTGCACCTGAGGGGGTACCTGCACCTGAGAGGGTTACCTGAAGTTGGAGGGTCTGCAGCATGTGAGCCGGTCCCAACCAGTGGCACTGTTTCTAGAGGAAGGTGCGGAAGCGCATGCAAAGACAAGATGCCAGCAAGCACACAAGACATGGCGAGGCAGGCAAAGGGGTTGAGGGAACTTAACTGTAAGACGTGAGAGCGAGCAGAGGGCAGCTGCTGCAGCACCAGGTGACTCCTTCCCCGGCAGCCCTCCTCCCATCCTTCCTGTGTGCGTCCCTCCCTGCACGGCCACCGGGGAGAGGCGTGAGGGGATGGCGGTGCTGACCCCACACCCCTCCCCCCCACCTGCAAGGCACACACGCAGAGCTGGTGGGTAGGCAGCAAGGGAACGAAGGGTGAAAGTGCAAGAGCAGAGCATGCAAGGCAAATGAGAGCGGAGGGGCCACTGGTTGAGGCACTAGCACAAGGCACAGACCCCCCAGGGGACCTGAGGGGCTGTAGGCCTGTAGGGGGGCTGAACCTGAACCTGAGGGGTTTACCTGGAATAAGAAAAGGGAGGTCTGTGGCTTGCGAGTCATGCCCCAACCAGCGGCGAGATTTGACAGAATGGAAAGAAAGAAAAGAAGCAGAACCCAGATCAACCGAAAGCACTTGAGAGGCAAGGTTCAAGGAGGCGAATGACTTAGCTGAAAGTTGGAGCAGTGGTGGTGCAGGCGGAGGGGGTGCCTTGATGCAGAGTGGCCACGGCGAGGGGGGGTTGGAAGAATGAACGTGGAAAGCAAAAGACCACAAGCGAGGAGGGGCAGGGACTTAGCTGTGGATGGGTTGGGTGGAGAGCAGCTGCCGACTGCCATTCCCACTCCCACTGCAACTCCCACTCCACTTACTGCTCCCCGCCACTGCCACTCCCACACCATGCTGGGACGAGAGGGGCCAGATTGGGACAGAGAGAGAGAGGGAGGAGAGGATTGCAGAGGGCAAAGAGTAAAGAGGAAAAACGGAGTGGCATGCAGGCCAGGGAGCAAGAAAGGAAACGAGCATGGGGAGAAGAGCAAGCATAAGCGTGAGTGAAGGAAAGCACAAACATGCAAGCATCTTCAGCAGGGAGGGGAAAAGAGGCTCACCTTGATTCAGACAACCCATCCCGATACTCTCCCTTCCCATCCCAGCCGAGTGGAGTGCTGTCCCCTCCCCTCCCACCACTGCCACCTGCACAGCCACAGGGGAGGAGCGTGAGGGAGTGGCGGTGTTGACCCCCACGCCCCTCCCCGCCGCCTGCAAGAAGGAAACTGAAGACCAGTGAGTAACCGGCTAGGGGCAGAAACGTGAGAGGCGAGCAAGGGTGGGGTGGGTGGGAGGTGAGAGCAGCAGAGGGACCACTGGAGCAGCGCTAGGCACATGGTGCAGACCCAAAGTGAGGGCTATAGTAAATGTGTAGAGCTTAGGGTAGGCTTAACCTGGGGGCTGGAGGGGGGGGAAAACCTGGTATAAGGGGGTCTGCACCATGTGGGCTAGGCTGCTGCAAGTGGCTTGGTTTGAGGGGAGGAGGCATGCAGCATGGATGGAAAGATGATGTGCAGATGCATGCAAGCGAGCATGTGAGTGAACATGTGAGAGAGCGAAAGCAAAGAGCAACGAGATGGAATAGAGAGAGTGTACTTATCTGGTATGGCTGTGAGTGGTGGTGGCGCCTTGAGCCTTAAGGCTGCTGTGCTGCCGCCACTGAAGCGCCTCACACCACCCAAAGGTGGTGCTGGGAGTGCTGGGAACTCGCCACCAGAGGGGCTGCTGGGGGATGGGCGGAGGGGAGAGTGGGGAGGAAGGAAATGGGTGGAGATGGAGAGGAGGGGAGAGGAGAGTTGGGGGGGAAGTTAAGTGGAGGAGAGAGAGGTATGCAGATGGAAAGGGGAGATGTGCAGGTGAGGCAGACAGGGAGGAAGAGGAGCGGGGCCACTGGTAGAAAAAGAGGCTCACCTTGATTCAGACAACCCAGCCCGATACTCTCCCTTCCCGCCCCAGCCGAGTGGACTGCTGCCCCTTCCCCTCCCACCCTTGCACCTGCACAGCCACAAGGGAGGAGCGTGAGGGAGTGGCGGTGTTGACTCCCACGCCCCTCCCCTCAACCGGCAAGGAGAGAACTGAAGAGAGTGAGTAAGCGGCTAGGGGTAGAAATGTGAGAGGAGTGCATGAGATGGCATTTGGGAGCAGAGAAGGGGGGCGCTGGTGCAGCCTCAGCTACAAGCCACAGACCCAAGAGAGGTACACACCTAGGGAGGCTTACCTGCAGACCTGAGAGAATACCTGCA